GGGGGGGAAGCCATGGTGCACATAAGCGTTTCAAGTTTGAATTTAAAAGCAAGTCGAAGCGAACAAAATAGTGTAATTTCGTTTTGGAACTTTTGTTTCATTAAAAGTGCAAGTTGTAAAAGTTAACAAAACTCGCGTGGAGCTCGAACAGACCGACAAAGTTATTTCTTACTCAAACAGGATCAACATATAAGCAAGATATTCGTGTGATTTACGTTTTTACGAACGTTCTAAAACTCGGGGAGGGAAGTTTTAAAGTAAGTTGCTACCTCCATTAAAGTTAAATTTATATCCTTTTGCGAGTCAGTTGTTTTTAAAATATGTATAGAAATAAAGTACACTTAAAGCTACGGGGCGAGCGAAGGAGATATGTTTCTTTTTAAAATGTAACTACATAGCAAAATGTTTCATTATGTCGAATGCCAATACAACTTTATTACACGTGTCTAGTCAGTTTGGAAAAAAAAGCCCCATAGTGATGAAGAGCATTGCTCATCACGGGATCGTATCAATCTCGTACTTATGACTCGTAATTCCTCGCTATTTTTCAATGAAATTACATTTCTATTATCGGTGTGATTTGAAATTGTTAGAAAACGTACGTGCGTTTTAACTGCCAGCGAAATTATATTCAACATTTGTTTTCTTTTTTATCTAATAAAGCACGTTCTATAATTATATTTGAGGTCTGAAATAGGATCGCAAATTATACAACTTTTATTTGCTGCCCGGTCTCTTTCATTATTATTTTCGTAATAAAGAAAATTTCAATACATATCGATGATTGGGCTAACGGTAAAGGAGAAAGAAAAAAAAAAAAAAAAAAAAAAAAAAAAAAAAAAACATTGTGAGAAATATTATTTTTTATATTAATGAAAAAATCAATAGCTTTCTACCAATCTCGCCAAAGTCAATATATCTTGAAAATAATCTTCCTCGTAGACGACAAGCGTTTGCAAAACATTATTACGTAAAATATAAACAACTCGTTATTCTGCGAGCCATATTTTACAAAGTATTCTAGCATTAATACAACGTTATTTTTCTTTTATATATATATATATATATATATTGCATTTTTAAGCTTCCGTGTCTGCTTTGGATTACGCGATTAAAAATACAAAGAAAATAATATACAGACTGGGCGTATAATATATATTGACAAGCTAATCTCGCGTAGTTTAGCGAATTCGATTTTAAAATAGCTCTCATCTCACACTCAACTAGATTGCAAAGGTGTTTTTCTTATTTTTTTTTTTTTTTTTTTTTTTTTTTTTTTTTTTTTATTGCCAGGCTCCTAAAACTGGGACAGATGGTAAAATATGAATCGAAGGACGCACGAAAACTTTATTACCGAAGGAGCATCTTCTAATTAACTTGTCTTTTTAATGAAATACAAAGCGCCGATATCTTCATCGTTTAAGAGCGACTTATTGGGTATGAGTTGGTCGGCCAACTCATGCAAATACGGCTCGAGAATGACAGAAGAGAAAACAAACGAGAAAACAAAAACAAAAAACAAAAAACAACAACAAAAATAAGAAAGAAAAGATGACTTTTCAGCCAATAGCCAAAGAATAAAAATGAAAACAGCACATACCTGACGTTGATCGACTGCATTGGATGTTCCTGGTGGAATGTCCCTGCTGAAGGTAGAGGGACTGCTGGTACCCACCGGGATCGAGGCTCAAGCCGTCTGGGGACTGCTGCATACCGGCTCCCGACATCATCTGCAACCGTTCAAGCGACCCCAGCGAATTAGCATTAGACCGAATTGTCCGCGTCCGCGTACGTGTGCGTGTGCGTGTGCGTGTGCGTGTGCGCGTGGCATCTTTCGGCCGCCTTTCCCGCCCTTTTTTTTTTTTTTTTATATTCGCAGGAAGAGGAGCAAATGGCGTCCGGCGAATTCCCGAGTAGAGTTGCAGCTCGATCGCTTTCATCATTCGAGTTAATCCCTTCGTTGCAGCTTTCAATGAATAAGTTTACGGGAAATTCTTTTATATTTTTAATGTTAGGAGCGCGTGTAAATGGAGCGCACGAGTTAAATTTAAAAGTGCAATCGTCCCAAAAGTCTTTGATTGGTGGTTACAGTTCGGTTGACCAGCTTAACAAGAGCTATTTATCTTATTTAAAAAGCAAAATTCTTTGTTACATTCGGAAAAATGTCAGGAGTAAAGTACCAAGGAATTAATGATATTGGTTGTGCATAATATGAAATAAACGATTGCAAGTGATAGTGAGGAAATTCGTGAAAGTTCTTGAAGTATGTCACAAAGACGCGCGCGCGTACGTGTATAATATATATATATATATATATATATATATATACAATACGCTTGTATTGAACATTTAAAAAATTTTTGTCTATAATTCTAGTCTACTATTTTAAAGTTATAATTTTTAATCATAATTCATACAATAAGTGATTATACGTTATTTATTCGGGTAATATTAAAGCTTTTTTTTTCTTTTATATTAACGCTCATTATCTATCGGATTAAAGGCCTCGTAGTTGTACAAGTGCACGATTGTTTAAATTAAATTGTACACGTACAAAAATTATTTACACTCAACGCGAGTTTGCAGTATATTATCATTATCTCATTGTGCAACGATTGCTTGGCAATAAACTAAAGAGAATTTTAGATTGGAAATAGTGAAAGTTATAAATGTATGCCAGTAATACAGAAGATGTTGGAAGTTTAATAGAAATTCTCATACGATCATTTCATATTCAATCCAATAAAGACCAATAATTTTATTATAATAAAAGTAATTTATTTGATAGATTTATATATTTTTTCACATGAACGCGCGCGCACACGGATCCCCCTCCCTCTCCACATCCCTTTTAACACTCGAATATCTCGCTCTTTCTCACTATTGAGAATTCCAAACGAATGAATTCGAAATTCGAACGAAAAAGATATGATATAATCACGCGCATTAAATGTATATTTTATTAGAGTCATATATTTTATCTAAATAATATTTTCGAGTACGTTCGATGGAAGACCGTTTATAAATTGACTAATCAAAAAAGATAAGATAAGTAATATACACACTGTATGTACACACACATACGCGCGCGCGCGCGCATATTATATTATTTTTAATTATATTAGTTTTAATTATATTAGTTTTAAAATTTATTATTATTATTAGTTTAAAATTATTATATTAGTAATTAAATTATTATTATATTAGTTTTAAAATAACAGGATATAAATAAAAAGTAGCGTTACAATATTAAAATTGAAAGAACAATTGATGACTGTACAATTTAAAAGAATTTACAAAAGTTTATAATGTATTAGTGTGGCAATTTAAAAATTTCTTTGACAACATACGGCAATTAGGTTTAGTAACCAATTAAGATCTTATAATGGATGATTAGCTTTATCTTAAAATGTTCTCTAATTTATTTCCTTTCGGTTAATTAACCGACAGCTAAGCATCGTCAGCGAATTAAAACTTTTTATTTATCGGCGACTAATTTTTTTCTATAACTGCTCAACTAATAAGACGAATATTTACAATGCTTAACGATTATCTCTAATTTTAACTCGAATTCGTGCAATAAAATTCATTAGCGATTGAAAATAATATCAATAAAAATATAATCAATAATAAATAATGTTATAACTATCGAGAAGATAAGATATAAGACTCGAGAATGATAAGAAGAATAACGTTAAAAAAAACTACTACCACTACTACTACCACTACTACTACTATTAATAATAATAATAATAATAATAATAATAATAATAATAATAATAATAATAATAATAATAATAGTAATAGTAATAATAATAACAATAATAATAAGGAAAAATTTGTTTTAAAGTAATAAACAATGACAATTTAATAATCAAATCAACGATAAGATAAAAACTTTAATCAAATTGTCTATTTGCTAAGAGTAGTGGGTGGGATGTGGAGATAGTACGGCGATTGGGAAAAAATTTCGGTCTTCCCGTTCACGTGACAGTGACATACACCATTGGCACGGCTGCGACTCTATTACTATTATAATTATTAAAGTGCATAAGAAATTGGTAGCACTTTCCATTGATCCTTCAAATGTGCAATGCGCGCTAGAGAACATTGTTGCTCAAATTTGCGAGTTGAAAAGCGCAAGATGATCATCCCCCATCCCCCGTTATGGCCTCCTTACATTACCAATCCAATAATGAGAATTGAATTATCTTTATTGTTAGCCGTTTCGCGTGCTCCGAGCCATTTGCAATGTAGTTTCGCTGAACCGATAAACGGAAGGAGATAGGGAGACAATCGAAATCGAGAATATCCGTAAGCAATCGAGAAAGGCAGTCGTAGATGGGGTGGGGATGGGATTATAGAATCAGAGGGATTGAGTGAGAGAGTGATAGAGAGAGAGAGAGAGAGAGACAGTCGGTGGCTAGATATGCCGTAATATCGAGTTATATTATTACGCGACACTCGATTACGCTAATAGCTAGCAAGGGGAGTGATGCGATTTTCGTTTTGTATCAATCAAAGTCGGAATTACCCCCGAGTGAGTAAGCACGAGGAAAGGAGGCCAGTGAACGTGCGAATTAATCGGCCATAATGAGGAAACTGAACGTCGCGCTGTAATTAGATGGGCGCTTTCGATTTACGTCACGCAATAATGCGAACTACGACGTTTTATATTAGTCGACTAATCATTACTCCTTTACTCGCTGTACATCTCGTCATCTTTTTCATTGGTTTCTCAACGCGCGCATCCTGCGATTTTCGATCACCTTTAATCGAACGTTAAAGACTCGTTGACGCGAGTAACATGCAGTTAGTTGCCTTGATTCATTGACCGTTGTTTCGTTACGTACATTTGGCATTGTCGATGACGTGATTAGAATTAAAAGAATATATCGTTATTGCCAATTGGCATTTTCAGGTGCCTCTAATGTTAATTTACGTCTCTAATTAACTCGACTCCTACATGCCAATCTTTCAAACGTCTACAACCTTTTTACTTTTTATTAATTTTACTTTTAATTAAGTTTTCGTGCGATAATTTTTTTTATTGAAAATTTCATAAATATGAAATATAAATTTTTTTATTCATATCTGCCATCAAAATATTCGTATTTATTAACTTTTATTAACTTTCTAAACAAACTTTCTACAACATTTTTTTTGTTGCGCGTATAAATTTTATGAAAGTTCTCATTTCGATGCGGTAAATCATCAATTTAATATCATGCCGTGCATTATTAATAGACAAAAAAAAAAAAAAAAAATAAATAAAGCAATTTAATTCATTGGGGAATCCAAAATAAACAAAAAGGGATTCTCTCCCTCCATCCTCCTGCTCCTCCCCATCCCCATTACAAGAGTAAAAAATGGTTTATATTATATAGAGATGAAGAATTCTGAAAATAGAAGCTCGTAAATATGTCATCGCGTATCTCGAGAGAGAAATTTGCGTATTTTATTAGACCGGTGTTTTAAGCAAAAATAAAATAAATAAAATAATATTACTAGAATTCAAACCTAAATTTATCATCGAATTATAAAAATTTCATGGAACGAATAGTCGAATGATATTATTCCATGCTTTTCTAACTCTCGACACTATCTGGATTAATATTTGTAATTTCTACAGAACGCACGAAACTAAACATAATATTATGCATACATACATTTGCGTGTATATACTCGAGGAAATTCAGGACAATATATATATATATATATATATTATCCTATTTCTTTAAGATAACGAAGATAACGAATTAATATAAAGTTATTTATATTAATATTTATTCTATTAAAATTATTAAAGATAAGAATTATTAGATTATGCAGATTCATTTAATTATGAATTATGATGTATTATATTAAGTAATTCCTTATTTATCTTTAATCCGATAAATTTGCCTATATATTATTGTTACTAAATTTATTAAAAAATCAGTTCAATCAAGAATTAATTAAAAATCATTTGCTTTCACAGTGATTATATTATTAATAATCGCCGCAAATATTTACGCTAAACTTTTTATTTCAAACAATTATTTTAAAGTATCGTAAAATTAATTATTTCATGTTCAATCCATCAATTTTCAGTAAAATCATTTTCAAAAATTTTGAATTATCTACTAACAATATAATTAATTTCTATAATAAACCAATGCAATAATACTTCTTCTAAACTAAAGTTCATCCTTAAGTTTAATTAATTGATAATTCTTCGTGAAATAAATCACAATGATATTTTATTACTTGTAAAATAAAAGATTGATCTATCTTATGTTGACTAACTTATGTAATTATTTAGTACTCTGTTATTATGAGTAGTTTCGCAATTATATAAGGCAAAGTTTAAAAAGCAATGCATATCACTAAGAATTCCCACTCAACAATATAAGTAAAATAATAAATTATAAAATGATTGTCTCACAACATTATAGAATCCATTAATAAAATAAATTATGAGTCTAATCTACACACGCGCGCGCGCATACACACACACACACACACACACACACACACACACACAAGTGAAATATATATTTATAAAAAATAAATTAAATAAATAAGTTAGTGTTATCTTGATTAATAATCATTATTTCTTAATAAGATTTTAATATATATAAAATAGTGAAACGTCCTTTGGAAATTATACAAAAGCGTTCAAAAGTCAATCGATCATTAATGTTAATCTTAAAAACTCGATTAACAATAAGAATTTTTTTTTTTTTTTTTTTTTTTTTTTTTTATTCGCTCGGTTAATAATATCATATTGATTATTGCTCGACTTATTAATAGATTTAACCGTTAATAAGGAACACTTTGATATTTTATTGTCCATTATACTAGCATACATTTATTCTTAAAAGTGAATATTCGCTTGAATGTTGTTGAGGAAAATATCGAATCTATATTCTGGAATTTCTTTCACTTTTTCCATAATTTCAACACCAATAAATACATTACAAGACTTTTACTTTAAAGTAACGAAGAGTATTATTTTATTATTATTATTTTTATTTATTTATTTATTTTTTTTTATTGTTGAATTGCATTTCAATATTAATAATAATTAAAATATTTTATTTATCGATGATATATTCATTAATTAAAATTTTGAATAAAATAATTATAATTTATCAGCTATAGATGGAATAATCTCAGCAGAGAAATAAGGAGAAATATATACCATAGACCAAACTTACGGATTAATTTAAGTTTATGTAATAGGAAGCTCGAACCCCGCGTTATTTATATAAGCAATTTATCATAACAATAGCATCTTCAAATCTATAAGCTTTTATATTGAAAAATGTAAGCGCGCTAACATTTCGAGAAACGTTTTAGCGTAGACTAAAGCTCAATGGCTTAACTAAATTCCCGACATAGTATTTATTTATATTAAATTGATAGTTTAAATGACGTTCAATGTCCGCTCTATAAACATTACCGTATACACTCAATAAGTCTTTATACAAAAGCTTAGCATACTCGAATCTCGAATTCTCTTTATTCATTTTATCGTTGCACAATTGCGTTCTCATATTTCTTGTACGCTCCATTAAAAACAAAAACTATCAATCTCGATTATGAATAGATTGACTGGTTATTTTACATTTGCCAATACTCGCGAATACAATACCACGGTGGCATAAAATAATTTTCTGAAATACCCGAAATTACTTATCACGTTTTTTTTCCTTTTCTTATCCTTTTTTTTTTTTATTTTTTTTTTTTTTTTTTTTTTTTTTTATTCAATAATGACGCGTCACGGATGATGAAAGCGGGATCTTCTTAGCGTACGACACGTCGTAACTGCCGGAACGTTTCCGACTATCCGGAAAAAAAAAAAAAAAAAAAAACACAAAAGACAGCCATACTTTTAATCGAGTATTTCGATAATTGCATTAAGCTCGCGTCGATATGGCGGCGAGAGATGGTGTGTCAACAGATTTCTGACGTCGAAGTAAAAAATACGTAAAATCAATACGTACACGTATATGTACCTGTGACTGGTATGCGTGGTGCATCTGATCATGCTGCTGTTGTTGCTGGTGATGCTGCTGGGATTGTTGATGCTGTTGCTGCTGATGCGGATGCGAATGCATCGCAGGTATGTCGAAGTCTTCATCGCCGAAGCTTGGCGTGTGAAACGTCTGCAAAAGATGCAAATAAAATCCAGAGATTAGCGTCAATTTTTGGTGCTAGGCATCGGATAATTTTACAGTCTCGTTGTACTTGCAAGTAGTGCTTGCATCGGACATTAAAGAATATGTACGCTTAGTTGTTCTGGATTTAGTGGGATTTTGGGGATTCTGGATTAGTGGGGACAAATGAGTAAGGAAAATTATTGAAATTTTCAAAATTACATATCCATAGCAACTTTCTTCGCTTCATTTACATCAGCTAAGCTCGTGACTTAACACATGTGGCATAGGCTTTTAATATTTGTAGAATTTAATATTTTAAGAAATGTTTTAACGGTATGTTTTTTCTGCTTTTTCAGCTTTAAAGAGTGTAGAGACGCCGTTCTGGGAGGGATTTTTTTTTTTGTTTTTTTGTTAGACTAATCTCAATGAAAAGGAACTCGAAAGATGAAAATGAAGAAAAAAAACTTTGAAAGAAAAATGTTTAGAAATAATTGAATACAAAAAATTCCTATTTCCTGCGCTTGTCGTCTGTAGTAATGAAAAGGGCAAAATATCCGTATACAAATATATAATGAAATTTGTACGATAGGGTCGAGCGGATACATAGCGTCACATTAATATTGTGGTTTGCATTAAAAAATTTATTTTCCTAACAACAACAACGACAATAACAACAACGACGATGATGACGATACAAATCTTTCAAATATTATATTGTCTTTGGGAAAGACATGAAGCAATGAATAAATAATGGCATAGGTGTAGAATGAAAAATAGAGAGGCAAACTGTCAAAGTATCAATGTAGAGACAGAAAAGTTTCCAAATTGGATTTTAATAGTAGCAGGAAT